CGACGACGGCGACGAAATAGGAGGGACGACGACGAGACGCCGACGACGGACAACGACGACGACGAGGGAAGAGGAGGAAGGACGACCACGGCGACGACGACGACGGAAACGACCACGACGCCAAAGAGGACGACGACGACGAACACGAGGAAAGACAGAGGACGACGTAGGCGACGACGACGACGACGCGGGAGGAGGGAGGACGGCGACGACGACGACGACGACGACACACGAGCGCGCACGCACGCTTTTGTTGAAAATCCGTGTTGCGAAACCTTGTGTTTTCGTAGTTTTTTTGAACACACGATTTTGAAATCCTTCCGGAACCAATGGATTTTGAAGGATTTCGGCATACGCGCGCGACGACGCTCGCGTTTGCACTTCGTCTCATTTTTTGCAGGACGATTCTCGCGACGGCACACGCGCAAGGGCGTTCGACAGATTTCGACATGCGTGCGCGAAGCCCGTTAGTAGCATTTTGTGAAAATCTTGAAAAACCGATGGTTTTCTTAAGATTTCGCAATAGCTCGCGCGTGAGCTTTTATAGCAAACCAGTGTTGCGAAACCCTGTGTTTTTGTATGCTTTTGGGGAACTCGATTGCGACATCCTTCCGGCACCGAAGGTTGTTGAAGGATTTCGGCATGCGCGCGCGACGACGCGCGCGTGCGCACTTCGTCCTACTGTTTGCTTGGGACTCGTGACAAAGTGCTATGCTAAAACAAAAGATGTCCCCGCGTATCGTTTTTTTCCAAGGGGAACCTCAGGGGGACCGATCCCGGCTCCTCTGGGATAGTGTAAATTCATATTTAGGATGGGCATGTGCTCAGAATCATACATGATTTATATGCCCGAAAGGGGGGAATAACGCCAGGGGGGGTAGAGTCTATTCTGTTTTCAGAAAGGAGAATAAACGCGGCCTCGGAGATCTAGGCCTGCCTCCCCTTCCCCCCCCCCGCTCCCCCGCCCAGCCCCCCTCCCTCCACGGGATGTTTTTTTAACCCCCTCCAAAAACCCATCTTTGGGGGTTCTGGGGCAACAAACCAGCCGAACCACTCCAAAACCTTCCCAAACCCTGGTGAAGGGTGAGTAGGTGGGGGAAAACAGTTAACCCTTTCGACAAAACCGTCCTCCTCCCGCCCCTGTTGCCCCCCCCTTCGCATAGGGGCTCGGGGCCGGGAGCCCTGTGCTGCCTACACAACCACTCCCGAAGAATGGGGGGGCCGAAGGGGGACAGAGGGGGGGAAGAGGGAGCGAGAGGGATTCGAGGAACAATTATCGCAAGAGTCCCGTATCCCCAAGCAGCGTCTCTTGAGCCAGAGTGATCACTAAAAACGTTCGCGCGTCCTCCTGCTTCTGATCCGCTTGCGCCTTCGGCGCCGCCGTCCGGCTATTCGTGTCGAGGTCGTCCTCTTCCCCCGCATCCACGTAAGTCTTCTTTACCGCCCTAGCCCTCCTGTTTCCACTGAACCTTTTCCTCCTCATCCCCCTTCTCTCTTCCACCCGCTCCTCCCCCTCCTCCTCCGCCTCCTCCCACTTCTCCTCCTCCTCCTCCTCCTCCTCCTCCTCCTCCTCCTCCTCCTCGTTATCCCTCGTCCTCCTCCTGATCCCCTTTGTCCTCCTCCCCGTCCTCCTCTTCTTCCTCCTGTTCCTTGTCCTCCTCCCCATCTCCCTCCTCCTCCTCGCCATCCTGCTCCTCCTCCTCCTCCTCCTCCTTTTCCTCCTTTTCCTCCTCCTCCTGCTTTTCCTCCTCGTCCTCCTCCTCCTCCTGCTTTTCCTCCTCCTCCTCCTCCTCCTTTTCCTTCTGCTCCCCCTCCTCCTCCTCCTCCTTCTCCTCCTCCTCCTGTTCCTCCTCTTCCTCCTCCTCCTCCTCCTTCTCCTCCCTCCTCCTCTTGTACCTTCTCACATCGTTCCTCCCATTGCTCCTCCTCCTCCTGATACGAAATCCGCATCATGCTCGTGGTGCTGTTCCTCCTCGTCGTTTTCTTCCTCTTCCTCCTCCTTGTATGTAGTTAACGCCGTGCTCCTTCTCATGCACGCCGCACTCCTCCCTGTAGTCTTCGTTATCGTCCTTGCGCTCCTTGTCATCGTCCGTGAATCCTCCTCGTCCTTTTCCTCCTGCCCCTCCTCCTCCTCCTCCTCTTCCTCCTCCTCCTCCTCCTCCTCTCCTCCTCTCCTCTCCTCCTCCTCCTCTCCTCCTCCTCCTCCTCTTTCTCCTCCTGCGCCTCCTCTTCTTCCACGCGGTTCTCTCCCTCCTCCGCTTCCTCCTCGGAATGCTCTGCCTCCTTCTCCAACACATCGTCCTCCTCCTGCTCCCCCTCCTGCTCCCCCTCCTTTTCCTCCTCCTCCTCCTCCTCCTCTTCCTCCTCCTCTCCTGCTCCTCCTCCTCGTCGTCCTCCTCCTCCTCCTCCTCCTCCTATTCCTCCTCTTCCTCCTCTTGTTCCTCCTCCTCCTCCTCCTCCTCCTCCTCCTCCTCCTCCTCCTCCTCCTCCTCCCCCTCCCAATCCTTTTCCGAATGATCCTCCTCCTCCCCTCCTCCTCCTCCTCCTCCTCCTGCTCCTCCTCCTCCTTCTCTTTCTCCTGCGCTTCCTGCTAGTCTTGCTGCTGCGGCTGCTGCTGCTCCTCCTCCTCCTCCTCTTTCCTCCTCTTCCTTGGACCTTCCCCCATGCCAGGGATGCCGTCGCAGTCTCGCTGCCGCTCCCAGGAGGCACCCTCGCCAAGGATGACCTCAAACAATTTGCGTTTGAGCCGGATCCCGTCCAACTCCTCCATTATTCCTCCCGCGCAGCATCTCGGAGCTCTCTGCTCCTCCATGTCTCCTCCATATATTTCCCCCCGTCCTGGATCCGAAATGGCTCCCCCCCGATCAGCCCTTGCACTTTCTCAAGGGATCGTGCTCGTGCCTCGGCGCCAGCTACCTCCTCCGTCGGGCCAGGGGCGCCCAGCCCTCTCCCAGAGCACAAGTCGACAACTGAAGTGGAACCAAATGGTGCGCTTGGGTCTCACCCCTCCTCGCTCCTCTTCTCCTCCCTCTCGGAGCTCAGAGTCTCGAAGAGGTCTCGAGCGAAACGGGCCAGACCACCTCTGTCGCGCGCGGCATCTCGGAGCCCAATTGCGAGGATGTCTCAAGCGAAACGTGCCAGACCACCTCGCGCACATGTCCTGAGAGCCCAGAGCTGCGAGGACGCCTCCGGCGAAACGAGCTGGACCACCCCGCGGAGTTTCGAGGATGTCTCAGGCGAGACGCGTCAGACAACCCTGCGCGCAGCATCTCTGAGCCCCGAATTGCGACCATGTCTCAGGCGACATGGGCTGGACCACCTCGCGTGCGACATCTGGGAGCTCAGAATTTCGAGGATGTCTCGGGCAGCGCCCGGACCCCTCCCAAAGCACTCTTGGACAACACATGTGTATTCACATGATTCGTTTGGGTCTTGCTCCTCCTCCGTCTCGGAGGCCACAATTTCGAGGATGGGAGCCCCGAGTTGCGGGGATGTCTCAAGCAAAACGGGCTGGACCACCTCGCGTGCGACATCTTCTGGGAGCTCAGAGTTCCGAGCATGTCTCAGGCGGCGCCCAGACGCCTCCCAGAGCAAAACTCAACAACAGCGATGGAATCAATTGGTTCGTTTTGGTCTGACCCCCTCTCTCCTGTCGCCTCCGTCTCGGAGCCCTGAGTTTCCAGGATGCCTCAGGCGAAACGGGCCAGACCACCTTGCCCGCAGCATCTCGGAGCCCCAAGTTGCAATACTGTCTCAAGCGCAACGGGCCACACAACCTTGAGCACACTTTCTCATAGCTCAGAGTTGCAAGCATGTCTCAGGCGAACGAGCTGGTCCACCTCTCGCGCAGCATCTCGGAGCCAAGAGGCGCGAGGATGTCTCAAGTGAAAGGCGCCAGACCACCTCTCGGGCGGCAGCTCGGACGGAACCCCGAGTTGCGAGGATGTCTCAGGCGAAAGGGGCTGGACCACCTCGCCCGCGGCAGCTCGGAGCTCAGAGTTCCGAGAATGTTTCAGGCGAGACAAGCCAGACCATCTCGCGTGCGGCATCTCGGAGCCCCGAGTTGCGAGGATGTCTCAGGCGCAACGAGCTAGGCCACCTCGCGCGCGGCATCTCGGAGCTCTCAGGCGAAACGAGCTAGACCACCTCGCGCGCGGCATCTCGGAGCCTCAAGTTGCCAGGATGTCTCAGGCGAAACGAGCCGGACCACCTCGCGCGCGGCATCTAGGGGCTTCAAGTTCGGAGGATGTCTCAAGCGAAACGGCCTGGGCCACAAATGTCTCACCGGATCTTTGCGGATGTATCTGGTCCCCTTCCTCCGGCTGGAGTTAGCTTCTACCACAACAGCACTCCGTTCAGATGTTTGGGGAAACAACGACAGAAACATTAATTTTTGACGGTCCGTGCAGGTTGCTTGGATCTGAGCTGGACCCCCCTCCCTGGCGCGCAGGGCGCGCCAGAGGCGGCGCCAGAGGCGGCGCCAGAGGCGCCGCCAGGCGGTGCCCAGCGCAGACCCAAGTTTATGTTTGTGTCGTTTTTTCTTCTTGGAGGGGTGCGGGGGGGAGGTCCAGGGGAAAGGACGCGACCGGGCTTGTGGTAATGGGGGGTGACCTGGCATGGGGGTAAAGAAGACGGCCCGAAATGAGCCCTTCAGCGCCCCTTTTCAGCCCTTTGGGGCCGCTTCCTTCCTTTCCCCCCCTTCAGGTCACCCCCCCTTGCCACCCGCCCGAGGCGAGAGAGAGGAGGCCACCTCCGGAACCCCAGCCCTCCGTCGCCGCGGAGGTCTCACGGCGTGGGCCCCCAGAGGCCTACTTTAGACCCCTCCGCCTGGGACGGGCCTTGCACCTCGAGCCGCTTCCGACAGGCCCTGGCGCCCGGCGATGCAAGAACAGAACCAAGCAGAGATCGCCCGCCGAGTACTCTCACAGCGCGAGGGGTCGGGGAGGAGAGGCGCTCGGCGCCGATCGGGGCAGGCCCACCCCCCGCCCCCCGCGGCGCACAGGGTGAAGGCGGGGAACAGCGACTGGGTGAGCAAGCGGATGGCCCGCGCGATGTCGGCCACCCACCGGGCGCGCTCCTCGTCCGCTGCCGGGCCCTGCGTGGCGAACGCGTGCGTGACCTGCAGTCGCCGTCGTCGTCGTCGTCGTCGTCGTCGTCGGCGTCGTCGGCGTCGTCCTCGTCGTCGTCCTCGTCCTCGTCCTCGTCCTCGTCCTCGTCCTCGGCCTCGGCGTCGTCGTCGTCGTCCTCGTCGTCGTCGTCTGGTTACTTCTCCAGGCTGCGCACGCTCCGAGGTAATGCCTGCTGGCCTCAACCAGGGGCGGTCAGGAGGGGGGCGTCCAAGAGGGGGGGCGCAAATCATGGCCGCTGGCGCGTGCGCGGCCCAGGGAGGGGGGCAGAGACGCAATGAAGTAAGAAGAGGCGCCCTGAAATCTGGGGAGATATCATTGCCCCCGCCATGACATCCCCCCCTAGCTTCTACGACGACATACCCTCAATGAATCAAAAACAGACACGATGCATGAATTCCCTCGGCGGCGTCAGCCAGGGCGGAAAAATCGAAACCACTCATGGCTGCCAGACACAGCAACGTCCTTGGCAAGACGTTGCAGCGAACGTTGGAAGGCTTCTACAGACCTGGCACGCACTGCGAAAAATCACCCCCCTCTTATCCACCCCCGACTCCACAAGCTCCCCGTGTAGTCCTGGGCAGTCTCAACACCCTGGCGCCGCCTCCGGCGGCGCCCTGGGGCCGCCCCAGGCCTGAGATGCTGAGACCGCCCTGGACCTCCCAGGGGCCTGTTGAAGCCAGCTTACACTGCCTGGTGGGGCTGTCCGTGCGCAACCTGAAGCCTCACCGCCGTCGCCGTCGTCTCCGCCGCCCTGCCGCCGCCGCCGTGGACGCCGCCGCCGTGCCGTCGCCGTCGAGGTCGCGTCGCCGCCGTCGCACGTCGGTTGCCGGCGTCGGCGACCCCGTGGTGGAACACGGAGATCTTGAAGAGCCGCACGCCGCCGCCCAGCGCCCGGTCCGCCTCCACCGTGTGCAGCCGGCACGCCTGCACGAGGGCAAAGGGCGACCAGCAGACGCTGAGGCGCGCAACGGCGGCGGCGCCCGGGTGGGCCGGCGCGCCCTCGAGGGGGCCCAGCGGCTCCGAGGCGAAGCCGTTCCTGTCGGGCACGGGGTGGCGTCCGAGGCGGAGATTCGCCCATAACCACCGCTTCGGGGGTCGATCTTCGAGGACCTCGGCAGGCGGTGGAGGTGGACAGATCCGGGCCCCCTGGGGCCAAAACAGCTCCATAGTCACCGCCCGCTGGGGTCCCAGGGCGTCAGTTCCCCAGGCGGTGCACGTGGATGTATGCCCGCGTCGCAGAAAGGCTGGGTCGCTCAACTTTCCAGGCTGCTCCGACGATCTCTCTATTTGCCACTCTGGGCGTTGCTTCTCGAGATCGACCCCCATGATGGGGCGCGTCATTTGGCCCCCTGGGCCCTCATCCATGGATCTGGGACCAAACACTGTCCCCGGGGAAAGGGTCACGCCCCTGCAGATGCGCGATGCGCTATCCGCGGGGAACCTCAAACCGGCGACAACCTTTCAGTGCCCCTCCTTTTCGTGCTGGCCATGAAGACATCCCTCCCCAGGCCCTTTCCTGGGGTGCGCTCTCGCTCTGGCCAGAAGTGTGAAACGAATCCAGTCGTGGCAATGAGAAGTCTCCAGGGGACCTCAGAGAGGCCCCTCCTGAGATCCGGCGCTGCGAAAACTCGTAACATCGCGAAACAAAAAACTGGCTTGAGCTCCAAACCTAACCTTTCCCCTCCATTTCTCGACCCGCCCCGACCTTGGATGGGCCCCAGAACTCGAAACCTGGCGAAATTGCAGGTTGTGGAACATGAGCCCAGCAAAGCACCCTGATGACAGCAGGGGTTAGGTCGGGCATGTCCCCCTAAAGGCGGATTGTGGGCGAACAAAAAAATCAACCACTAAGAAGTGACCAAACATAGTAAGACATAGTCCCCAGACTACGTTTGAGTATGTTTGAGCATTCCTCCTGTAGAGGGACAGGCCCGACTCTAGAGCAAGGGTGACGAAGCGGGTCGAGGAGCGGGGGCCGAAGCACGGCCGCGGAGCCCCGAGGACGAAAGAGGAGGTGCAGCCCGGACGAGGGGGCGAGAGCACGGCCCGTGCGCACGGCCAGAGGCCTGGCGAACACGCCCGCCGTGCAAGAAACTGCAGCGTGCGGATCTCGGGAGCTCGGCTTGCACGATTCGCGGTGACGTCCCTCTGCAGGAGGAATGTTTAAACACAGTCAACAACAATATGGTGACGATGTTTTACACCTTTTTAAGATAGCAAGCACGTGTTAAACACATGTGGAGACAAATGTTGCAGTTCCCTCCAACATTCGCCTGTAGGATAACATGCCCGACCTGACGAGAACGCCCGCGTGACAGGCACCACCACCCCTCCCCCTGGTCGCTTTGCGATTCGCGCCCGTGCGCCGTCTGGCCAGCCATCCCTAGGCGTTCCCTCGACGGCGCTCGAATCGTGGCGTAACCAGCCCCCTCACCACCCGCCCCTCCCCCCCTTGCTTACGCCTGTTACCGCCAGGGGATGGAAAAACAACTTTTGTAAAGGCCTCGGGCCGGCGCCGCCGATCTGGGACGATCCCGCTGTCAGAAGGACGCTTTCGCCCCAGCGCGCTTGTTCAAACCTGAGTGGTTTGTAAATAGCTTGGAGTCATTGAGTCGGCTTCTTGAGGGGCCTCTACGACGCATCTTCGAGGCCTCCTGGGGGGGCGTCTTGGAGGATGTGTAGAAACTAATTTCTAAGCCTTCGGGAGCGCTTTTGGGCGCCTTTTGGGGGCCTCTTAAGAGCCACTTGGAGCCTCTCGGGGTTTCTTGGGGACTCCTAGGGCAATTTTGGTGCCTCCTTGGCGCCTCTTGGGCCGTCTCGGGCCCTTCTGGGGCCGTCATGGAGCCCTCTTGGGCGCTTCTTGGGCC